ATTTTGAAGGGCCACTAAAAAGGGATTTGTTTTTGAGGAGGAAGGTTTTCCCCCCACCCCCCCCCCCCCCCCCCTCCGTGTCGTCTCATTTCACTTTGGTCTCCTGCTGCTGGTGTTGTCCTCAGATCTGCCTCTTGCTGGTTTTAAGGTTTGTGTCATGACTTATATTTTTTCCCTGTCAGCTTACATGTGCACTCTCATATACATATGTAAGAAGGAAAAAAAAAAAAAGGGCATGTACTCCCAAACACGTGCACCGTCTATGCAAAGCAGTTATCTGAACCAATTGAGACACAAGCAAAGTAAACAGGAGCAGGCAACTGACATAGTCACGAGGGAGCAAAGGCATAACAGGCCAAAAACAATTAAGAGCAGGGAGGAGACGGGCCTGCTAGTGAGGGACATTTACATTATTGAAAAAGACTTTGAGGGGGAGCGATGGAAGCTGCATGCCCAGAAAACACACAGGCCGCCTGCTTCACTGATGGACAAGCCAAATAATGATTTCTCCTCTGTCTCTCTCCCCCCCCCCCCCCCCCACAACCCACCCAGTCTCTGTTTGTAAGTCTTCTGCCTCAATTCTGTCTCACTCCCTATTTTCTCTTCTGTTGTCTAATTATTGTGCCATCCACTGTCATCCAAATCTCAGTGTAATTGTTACAAATGGCATATTCCAGAAGATTCATGCATAATTATGCCCGAATGCTAAGAGCTGCAGGTTGGCTGTGCTGTGGTTCTTTATTTCATGCAAGCAGAAGCACACCAACAGTGTTGTAAATAAGGATTAGCCTGATCAAGTTTAGTTTGCTGGCCACACCCAGTGCTCATCAGAAACAGATCTGTAAAATCAAGCAGTCACCTAAGCAGAACCTGTGCGACAGGTCTACAACTGAAAACAAGAGAAATAAAGTTAATATTATGCCTGATGGTCTAAAAAGGGTTACAAAGCTACATTTAAGGCTCATCACAGTGAGAGCCATTATCCACAGAAGACATTAGCAATACTCTATACTGACACTTCAGTGATGTGATATACATGGTTATAGTGAGGCCAGTTTGCAGTGATGGTAAATTTTATCCAATTAAATTTTGATTTACAATGGCATAAATCAAAATGAAGAACTGACCAACTTTTAATTTTATTGAGGTTATTCTATGAGCTTAATTTATCTGAGTGTAAAGTCTGGCTAGTCCTTTGAAGAGGCATGCAGCAGAAGACATCCAACAATTGACCTCTCAGCACCCCTCTGAAAATTCAAGATTAAGCTTTTGTGACAGCAGATAAGAAATGAAAGGGTCACTGCTGTATCTTCAGGGTCAAGTGGGTAAAGAAAGAACCTCTTATTAAGCTACCTGTGGGTCTTGATTGATTGTAGTATATATATGTCATATTCACATGGCTATATAGACTTTACCGGTGTCACCAGGGGTCACACATGACCATGTTGGTATAAGATACTCGACCTGTGGATGTGCAAGAATGATCGTTCAGGCTTTAAGCACCGCTTCTTGCGATGTGCTCTACTTCCGCATGTGGGCGGAGTCAGCGTCATGTAATTTGACTGACAGTGCTAGGATGCGCCTCCTGGCTTTGGTCGTTTTCGACCAGCAACGATGCGGTGGGGTAGCTTTTCACAGGTTATCTGTCTCACATGCACTGCCACGACATGGTGACAGTTTTGACAAATATGTAAAATAAATAAATAAATAATTTTTATTTATAATAGTGGCATGCTGCAGCTGGACTGGTTTTGTTGAGGAAACTATGCGTGGTGTATCTGTGTTGTTTTGGTACTCAAATGTCCTGAAGCAGTGAATGCACCATCTGGAAAGGCGTAGTGCCGTGATTGGGTTGATGAGCTCCACCTGTGCAGTTGTGTCTGTGCTAACAGACCGTAGAGAACTGAAAAGAATGAACATGGATATATATTACATTTAAAGACATTGGTTACGAAATGGGATGTTCGCTTTTTGGAGATGATTTCACTGTATGGAAGAGAGGTAAAATTTATGACTTTTAATGTGAAGAAAATGCAATAAGATATTTTTAAAGAAGTGAGAAACGTATGATAGAGTGTTGGGCTATGCCAACGAAAAACGTAAGTGGAGTAATATTACGAGAATAAAGTCATAATATTAGAATTGTAAAGTCGACATAATACGAGAATTAAGTAGTGAAACCATTAAAAACTATTTGTTTAGGTTCAAGTTGTGTATCATTGACTTTAAAACAAACATGCAGATAGTAGGCCTGATATTTTGTTGGGAATGTATACTTTAATACAAAACATGGGTTTAACAGTAATATTTGTGTGGGTATCAGCACATTTTGAAGTAACACAACTGTAGATGACAGTTGTGTCATTTATGACTGTGTCATCAGTTGTAGATGACACAAATAAAGACGGTGAAAAAAAATCCCATAAGGTTCATAGCAAAAACAAGCAAATCTGAAGGAAAGAATGTCATTAAACAAAACCTGATGAAAGAAATTAAAGGAAAATGGGTTTTATAAAATCCAAAAAGTGGTAGGTGAAATAAGAACTGGGAGAAGAAATTGGAAGAAGGAAAAATTTATAAGAATATTGGACATATGGAACTTAATTATGCATGTTTTAAAATACAAAAGCGTAATACAGGGAAATGTGATCTTTGTGGAATGGATGAAACCATAGAACATGTTTTATTGGAATATCTGAAATATGAAGAAGAGAATTTGAAGAAAACGAGAGTTTAATATGATGGGTACACTGAAAAAAAAACTTTGTAAGTAAACGTAACATAACATAAAATTGTTTTATCCAAATAACATAAAAACAATGTCCATTGTTTGTGATTGGGTAATGTTCCTGCATGTAATTTACAAACTTTAATGATTTGGAGTTACAGCAAAGCAGGATTTACTGATATATCAAACTGTTACTCTAAGGCCCAATTTATATGTTTTGCAAGTGTCTCTACTCCAGTATATGTGATTTAAATGGTTGTATTTTGTCCCATAGCCATTAAGTGCTGCAAAAGCCTGTAAATCAGTCTTAGAAAAAAGTCTGGTGCGTGACAGCAGGGATATACCTAAAACATGCTGCACAGTAGACTTGGGTCGAGAACAAAATTATGTGAAAGTGATTTCTTTTGTTTAAATAAAGAGTATCCATTTTTCACTCTCTGGCCCTGTAAGCTAAAAGTATCACAAATTGATAAACTGGAGCTTAGTTTGAATGCAGGGTGGTGATGACCTTTCAGTCGGGAGATTCTGATGGCTGTGGCTTTGGTTTATGTCTCCCTGTTTAACTGCCTGCTGAAATAAAACAACGGCTAGAATAGCGGTAGTTCATGGCTAGCAGCGAGTGCAAGGACAGAGACAAGGACAGCAGCTGTTTTAAAAAAATATTGCATCAGTTTAAATGGACAATTTTCCTAATGTTGGGATACCTGAATTAATTGATTTAATTCAGCAATTTTAAAAAATATATACATTGAGTTGTAGATGATTTTAAATTGGACTAAAATTATACTATTAATAACACAATTTTAAAAATGATTCTATACGTATTGGTTCGCTTGTGTAGATGTATTTTCTTATGGCTGCTAAAACTGAAAATCATATATGCATATATTCATTTCTTACGCATAAATGATATATATCAACTGAGTGTGCTAATGAATCACAATGACATTTATTACAGAAATATTATGGCTATTCTATTGGCAGTCAAATAAAATAAGTATGTATTCAATCATATTTGTAGAAAGTTGAGTGGAAGAAAAAACGTAAAACTTTATCTTTAAGAAGATTATGAAGCAAAGTACAATAGTAGGTTGGGGCTCATTTTGAAAAAGTTACTGCATCAACGCAGCATGTTATTGAGATGATTAGCCTGTTGCTATGATGTGTGCAGGAAGTCAAATTTGCTTATTAGAAGCATATTGGATCATGTAAACATCAGACTGGACCACAAGCAACTTGGATTCTGTGCCTCTCCACTCTTCCTTCAGTTGGTAAATGGTCCAGTCAAAACATTTCTTTCTCACAATCCATACATTTTTTCCCTTTTGCCTAAGTAAGGAGATTCTGATATTTTTGATGCTGGAGTGGCTCAACAAAAGAAGTCAAACGGTTGTGGCTCATGTCCTGGATATGTGTGTGTGATGGCTCTTGACACTGTGTTGTAACTCTTCCCAAACTCTCAGGCCAAACCTCTCAATTCTTCAGTCTTTCTGCAGTATACCGTATTCTCCTAAACTTTATTTCTGCCACTCAGTTCTTCCACTCCTTCCATTTATGTCTTTAGGTTCCACACTGTGAGCAGCCAGCTTGTATAGCGTTGACCTTTTTGTAGTTTATCTTCCTTGTGGAGGGCTTCAGTGACTTGACAACTTCCAAACCAGCATTTTTACCCAAAATTGTGTAAGGCATAACTTCACTAAACTTGCAAAGTTTTTTCTGTTATATTCAAGTATATGTTTTGGGGAAGCATATGTTTTTATTTTGACTTGTTGTAAAGCATAATAATCCAAATTACCACTTGAAACACATTTAAAGAGGTAATTTTCTATCTGCATTTATTCTGTAGGTTCAACTTTTTAAATTTAATACAATCTTTTTGTCACAAATGTATCTGTATAGCTTAGGCTAGACTAGGTTATATTGATATACTTTTTCCTATTCATAGGTTTTGATCCAGTGCTCTGTTTGACCACTGGATGACAATAACATTTTATTAACATATGCTATGGATCTGATTTTTTTTTTCCATATATTTTTCTTCTATCCATGTGATCAGTCGATTTCTGATGTTACATGCCTGTAGTTTTTCCGTTTGCCCCTGATAAATGCACCCGATCCTCTTGCAAGCAGAATTGGTTGCATACATTTTAAGGCAATATGCTGCTGTTTTTGCGCATCTGTTTTGCTGTTCTTTTATTTTCCTTTTGCATGCAGTTGAAGTTTTTAAGGATGGCCTATGCGGTCTGTAATAAGCTCCCAGCCCACAATGATAATTCCCATAAAACACAATCCCGTGCACATCTGATTCAGACACTCCCTCTACTCTCTTGTTTCTGGGGAGTGGCTCGCTTAAATATCACCTTGAGTCTTGCCATTTCCCAACCTCATTTACTTTATTACAGCAAATGTCTGCCACAAAGCGAGGGAGGGAAACAAATAAGAAAAGTAGGAGAGTGTGGGGCGGCGTATTGTGCTTCCACACATTCAGAAAATGACGTGTTTGCATGTGCAGACCACAGTAATCAGTCTCGAGGGGTACCCCTGCACTAACATGGGAAGAAAGAGAGATTAATAGAAGGAGGAGAGCATTTGTCTGTTTGGATAAATGCACAAGGCTGGTAGATGTGGCTGTAGGCTTTTGGGGAGGGGTAGAATGAGGGTGGTCTGTTGCCATCAGCAGCACAAGCCAGAAGGAAATGACATGCTTACCACAGAAGTGGAAGAATGACCCAAACTTCCTTGCAGTCTCTCCTCTCAAGTCATCCTTCATTCATTCATTGCTCTCTTGCTCGTAGAGTCTTGCATCTATATTTTCCCCTCTACTTGTTCTGTGTTTATCCCCTCACACCACTGTTTTCTCTGCAATGCTGTAAAATAGTTTGTATTCTCCCAGTAGACTTTTGTGGTTTGACTTTTTCCTACCATTTAAAAAAAACAATCACCCCTAAAACATATTTTGTTGTGCCTCACTTGATGTTATCAAGTGGTCCACTCTCCTTTATAAGTTTTAATTTTAAATCTGGACTTTGATTAGGCCACTCCAAAACTTTCAATATCAGTTTTGAGTCCCTTTATTCAAATTTTGTGGGGGTCAGACAGTATCCTAAGTGCACTTAAATTTGGGGTACTTAGGATATTATGGGCAAAAATGGAACGCTGAAAATTGTACTTGGAGATTCAACTTCATGTTGTCAGAAAATCTATTTAGTGGATTTTGCCATGTAAAGTTGAACCAAAATTGTATGGCAATTACTTTTGGTAAATAGTTTGAGACATTTTTTCTAAAGGGGACCATATTTAACTTTAATAGTTTTTTTCCCCCTGGAATGAAACGCTACTTCATAACTCTGGAAACAAACATGCCAGAGATGAAGGCTCCACTCCCTCCACTTCAGATGGCTGTAATGATTGCTTTTTCACCTCCATTGTTAGGGCAGCTAATACACAAAAAACAGGTGAAGAATGGACAGAAAAGGACACAAAGCTGCTGTATGGCTTCTTTTCTTAGTCTGCCAACTTTCATCTTCAGAGGAAAGACACAATGGAGCTGTTTTGACAAGGATGAAGGTACAAAAACCATTTTTTTTCCCTCACAATGCCGCCCAGTCATTATAATGTCCTGACTCATTGCTTGGCGTTCTGCCACACACGCTCACACCGGACGTGGCCCTGTGTAAATTATAGCTTGACTGGTAGAAATCAAATGCAAATTGCATACACAAACAGAAGGAAACCGAGTGGATGTTAATGATATGACAGTCAAATGTGTTTTGAAATGTCGTCGGGCAAATACCAATTAAAGGGCAAAATGGAGCAACAATATGGAGAGCTTTTTGTGTACAAATGGTGCTGACAGTATACTTTGTACTGACATACGTCTTCCTTGATGTTTTCAATGGGGAAATTGTGCAAATGCTTAAGGCTACAGCAAAGCATTCTCTTGTTCCATACACTAAAAAGTTTATTTCTTTTGCAATATTTTACTGATTTGAACTCCAACACAAACTCGGCATGTGACATATGCAGCACACAAACATCAAATTTGACTTTTCATACACCATAACTGTTTTTGTCAATGCCCCTTTAAAATATATACGCTTACTTGGAAGAAAAGCACATTCAGTCAAACTTTAAATTCTGTTTACATAAGTCATACAAACACTGGTTATGTTTCTATAAAGTCATTGTGGCCTTCCTACTTTGATGCATACAAAAATATGCAGTATTGCACACATCTACTTCTCTCTCTATGCAGTTTCATTAATCTGGTTTGGAAAATGTAACATAGCTCGTTTACATTACTCCAAATCTGTATCTGATTGGCTAATCAGTCCTCTTTATGTTTTCTTCCACAATAGTGTCCTCTTCCCAGAAGATGAAATGTGTTTTGACTCAACCCATCAAGACTTGCCTAACCACTTAATGGTCGCAGCTGATCTTCCTCGTAGCAATACATGTTTTTTCCTCATTTGTGTGCGGAATTGTGAAAGATTTCAATTTTTTGCAACATTGACGCACATGTCCATTGTCACTTGGCAACTTAAACAGCATTTTTTCTTTGTGTCAAACTTTTTCCAAAGTGAGGAACCAGCAAGATATCCAACCATCTGGGCCAGAACCAGCAGCTCCCAGTGAACTCCAGGGAGACCAAAAGTCACTCTTCCTGCAGTAAAGACACAGCGGTGGGGTTCATGGGGAGAAGGCACAGTTGATTCTACTGAATACACCACCCACCGAACCCAAGGTAAGCCACTTGGCAGCTCTACCTCTGATTGATCTTCCGTTAAATGCTGATGGATCAGGAGTGGTTCAGTGATTAAATCATAAGTACAAAGTTTGATTGAATTAGTTACGTGCTGAATGCAGAGAGATCCATATATTTAGAATCTGTGGAAACTGAATCCTTAGACTGAATTTGGGTATATGAAACTGAATCCTTGTTAACAGACTAATTCTGATTTGATTTGCACTCTGGAGTGAGACTTTTCACGTTCTAAACTGTACTGCATGCAAATAGGAGCTCCTCTAATCCTTGGAGAGATAAGCATAATACAAATGCCCCTTTTCCACCGGTATAGCTCTACTCAACTAGCTTTGCGAGCATTTCCACCGGCTTCTTTTGAGGCTGGCCCTGCTTTTTATTTCCCTGCTTCAGAGTAGAGCCAGCCGGGCCAGCTCTGCTTTCGTGGGTGATGCAAGCTTCACACCTGTTAACTGATTAGGTGTGGTCAAACGTAAGAACAAAAAGACAAGGAAAAACAAAGGCGCAACGTTTCAAACTCGCTGCAACATGCAAGTGATGGAAGCTACAAGTAAGCGGAGAACAAAGATGCCGGCTTTTCTTTGCATCAGATTTCAATATTCACTGGCAGCTCAATGGAGCAGTGAGGGGTGAGTTGTTTTTGTCAACGTAGCTGAGAGAATGGAAAGCCTCGTTAGCCACTTTGGAGCCGACGGAGCCCCACGGTGAACCCCGACTCAGATGCAGCTAACGCCGCTGCCAGGTGAGCAGTTTGCAGATATATCTGTCTGTTTTTTTTACTAAATTTAAGGTTGCCTACACACAATCATGGAAGACATTTGAAACACAAAGTCTGCTGTATTGTATTGCTCAAACACAACATGCGCATTTTCTGAAGATTGCACATTCCTGTTATAAATAACTGTCAATATTGTACAGCATGTTGCCTTAATTTGTTTTTTATGTTTTATCTTTGCGTGAATCTACGTGCTTCGATTGTTTCTCATTTTGCTGTTGCACCAGAGTTTCCACTGTTGTGAGATAATAAAACATGTTGTATGATATTCTGTTGTTGTAAAATGGCTATATTTCAGTTCTCTAATTAAATGGATATGAACTATTAATTGTACAAGACTTAAAAATGAACAATAAACCTGCAGAAACAAGAGTGGTATTTTATCCACGGCTGTCTGTCTGCATAGGTCTAAAACTTAAAAGTAATTATGTTTTGTCTTTAATTTACACAACTATTCCAGTTATTTATAATTGTGTATGTAAAGATGGTAAAAAAAAAGTGTTTGTATATATAGTAACCTGTCTATCTTAAACAATTCCTTCTGTGGATGGAATTACATTAGTAACTCATTTCATTGACACTTACCTTTATTGGTAATCTACAATGTTATCCAAAAGTGAATACATTGCCGTGTTTAGTTTCTACTCTGTACAACATCATTCTATCCAATATAAAACAATAGCTCAGCTTTCTCTTCTTCTTTTGTCTCAGAAAAACAACAACTCGCGTTAGGTCGTATAGTAACAGCATTTGGCGCCTGTAGGTAGGGCGCTATACCCCCCCACCACCAGGAGGCATCACCCTGCTACAAACCGAGCTGGTCGTGGAAATGCGTTCACTCTGAAGTTGAGCTGAGCTGGTGGAAAAGGGGCAACACAGAACCTAAATGATATGCTAACCACTGGGTTTTATCCATTGAGCTCTATTTCTCAGAATGCATTTCATCCTGGCCAATTAGCAAACAGAAGAAGTTGTGAACAATGTCGATTTTCTGTGCCAATATTCAGTTGTAGTCTGCCTATGGTTGTACTTCGGTAACGCAGCGGAGGAAATGAAGGAAGCCTTTCGGTCTGACCGTGTTGGCCATGCTTCCAAATATTGATCAATTAAAATCAGAGCAACAGGATTGTTTAAGAAACTGTATTGCTGTCAAACCAGATGATGTAAACTGTGGGTGCCAGTAAAGTTTGTGCTCTGATATAAAGAAGCCAGCAGTTTGTACACATCTTAGGTTTTCAGGTAGTTGAGTCCAAAGTTTGTCGAAGCGTTTGGGGAAGTATGCAGATATATCAATATGACCATTTGAAATTAAATGGTCATAATACTATGGCTAATTTTTTTGCTGTTAAATCATAAATGCTCCTTTATATCAATATTTCTAAGCTCACAGTATTTCTGTGCAGTCGTTGCTTATCCTGCCAGTTGGCCTAGATAAGTACAGAAGATGTTGAGGCTCCAGGAGAGCTGAAACTATAGTGCTATATTAGTGCTGCTTTCACTCACTCAGATGAGGAAACACTGAAAGTGATTAAGCTCCGTGTGGATATGTGTGCTTGCTAGGATATGACCGTGTGTGCCTTTTGGGAGCCTGAAGTGGAGCCTTAAATTATACATACGCTCTCATTCCATTACCAGTGGCAACTACTAAAGGCTTCCCAGAATTTCCATTACCAAAATGAAGCAGTACACTCTCGCTTACAATACAACTCTCTCTCACACACACTCACGTGTATATAAAACTAAAAGTGCAAATTCTTAAGCAGGACAGTGAGTTTGAGCTTTCACTCATTCAGTTACATTAAACTGTACCAATTTGGAGAGGGCATCGGATAACAATGATCATTTTTGCAAACAGAAGTCAATCTGTGACCAAGCAACTGCCAACGCTGTTGAAATCTGGATGGGTGAAATGAATTAATAATTTTTTGCCCACCCCGTAACGGCCACTAGTGAGACGCCATTGGGACTGGTATCTAATCCACCTCTGTTGTGGAACTGCTCAATGCCCTCCAGCAGTGGGCTTGTCTTCCACTGGGCAGCAACCAGTGATGAATAGTTTAGCATAAAAGAGTACAGTCAAAAATTCATGTTGAGCAGAGTGGAAAAGTCTGGGATTTTACTTGGCGTTTTCAGTGTTGGGAAGGGAAAAGAATAATAAAAGAGGAAATTGGTGAGGATAAAATGTTGGAAAAATGTGTTAACATATTTTAGTTTTTTTATCCCGTTGTCTCCCTTTTATCCAACCTTTTGTAAGTTGTTCATAAAAATTCTGTCATTTTAACTATGAATATGTCCATTTTCTGTTCAACTTTTCAAACACCCATCCAATTATCCTTTGTTCATTTGCTGCGATTTCCATCAAGTTGTCCTTATAGTTTTTTTTCTCGTTCATCTATTTGCCCTTACATCTTTTTGTCCATCAGGTCTTTAACCCATCTATAGCTGTCCACAGGTTGTTTTTTTTTTCTTTCCGTCATTCATGAACTTGGTTCTGTTGTCATCCTTTCTCTGTCAGTCATTCATCTTTTTGTTTTGGTTTCTCAGTTTTCATATATAAATGTCTACTTCTGTAGCAGACATTTATATAATTAA